GGCCTTGTTTGGCTAGCTTAATTAAGGTAGAGGTTTTCCTAAGCCTTCAAACTTTGTCTTTTGTTGAGTAATTTATTCGTTAACATCTTGATTATTTTATGTTGAATTTGAGTTTATGAATAAAAAGGACAATTGTTTTCTATGCAAAATATATATATATATATATATATATAATTGTTGAAATGTTGGAATTATTTGTTTAAAGTATGCTATGTGGAATAAATGGACTATGTTGTGTTGAAAAATTGAATTGCTAGTATGAGTTGTGATGAGTTGAATTATATGAAAAACATGCTTGTTGTTTTACTTAGAGAAATGCCATTATCATAATTGATTATTTTAGAATGTCTTGTTTGTGTTCATTGAATTGGAAAATGCCATGTTGATGTTGTTATTGCTATACTGATGAACTCGATATAAAAGTATGAGAAATGGTACATTGCATGAGATGGCAAGGAAAATGGGGTTTGAAAAGGTTTTGAAAAGGGAAGTCTTCACAGAGGAAGAAGTTTTCTTAACATGGGAAGTATTTTTTTTTTAAATGAACCGGATTTTGCGAATCCGGGGTTAGCTTGACCTAGAGGGAGCCCGGCCTGGTGTAGGGCGTGAAAAAGTTGATACTAGGCCCAGTAACGGTTGCCAGACCTTGTCAGAATTGGAATTGGGGATAACTATCAATCTCGCCTCGGTAAAGTCAGTTAGCGGTTTTCGAAAAGTGGAAAGTGGGTTGGTAGAGACCAAGTATGGGACATGGTGCATTACATTTCATATCATGCACGGCATTGTAGAATTGTATTGTGTGACTAAGGATAATGTTTGTTGTGGTGTAAATGTTATATGGACTCCCAATGCATGATCCCAATATCTTTTATTCCATTATGTGATACGTGGCTCAAGGTAGTTCAAAGTTGACGCCTTAGGCGATCTTTACTGAGCCTTGTGTTCACCCCATTATTTTTAACATTTTTCAGGTCATGGGAAGTAAGTGGCGGACGATATTCCTCCACAAGTTTGGACGGGTTAGTGGATTATTTTGATATCTCTTGTATATGTGATTTTTTATTATTTATTTATTTATTATTATTTTTTTAAGCCTTGAAATGGCACGTATAATTTGTATCGACATTGGAATTGACCATAGTGCCCTTAGACGACCTCAGGTTCGAGTAAGGATCCGGTTAACGATTCGAACCCTCGGATTCAGGTCATTACAACTACTTAGTATTTAAATTGATTTTCGAAGTGAGAGAGAGAATTTAAGAATACAATAATTTCGTATTAGTGTCAAATTAGCAATTTTTTAACATGTCACATAAAATGTACATAGTGATGCATCAAATTATATACACGTTTGTTTTTTTTAACAAGAAATTATATACACGTTTATCATGTAAGAAAACTATAACAATGATCTTAATTACAATTCTGGGGCCTTTTTCAATTCAATTGTAAGCATTAAATTTTGGGTCACCTCCAACTAAAGTTGTCTTGTATACGTAGTAAATAGCAAAAATGTGTCTGGATATAACTTACTCTTCACCGAAATTTGAAATTGCGCCGAACTCGGTTCATTTGTGTTATCCCTTACAAGTGGTTACTATATCATTTGTTATGTTTTTTTTTTTTCAAAATGATACTGTTATTATATATTCCCTCCATCTTATTATAATTGTCCTATTTTAAAAACTGATTATATATTCCTTTCGTCCCATTGTAATTGTCCAAAACAGGACAATTATAATGGAATGGAGGGAGTATATAATAGCAATACTATTTTGAAGGAAAAAATAACAAATGATATAATATATATATGTGTCGGACACATTTCATGGTCATATATGGTACCACAATATTTGAAAGTTTTAAAAGGGTCTGTTAAAATATTTTTCTTAAATTTTTTTTTCTTTCAAGTAAAATATATATATATATATATATATATATATATATATATATATATTTTTTTGGTATTGGGCAAAAGTTTAGGTCTCATTGTGTGAGTTGTGTAAAATAACTTGTTGAAAATTAATAAGTTTTGGTTTTTTTTTTTTTTTTTAATCAAACATCAAATAAATATAAATAAAAAATTTAAAAATATTTTATTCAAACAAACAAAAATGTATCCTTTTTTTATTTTTATTTTGCTGAATGAAAATGTATCCTTTCTTTTTCCAGCGGATCTAAAGTAGGAAAAAATAAACATTATTAAGCAGTTATCGTTAAACATGTCAAAACCTAGCTTCTCCTCGTGATGTCATCATTTTTTTTGGAATCATCTCCCGACCCCAAAATGCCTTTGTGTGCGTGGCAGAGAGAGAGTTTGATTCAAGAGATGGACGATTTATTTATTTATTTATTTTTAATATCATATGTTATACAGTCTAAGGTTAAACTCTTCATTCTGTTCTCCACATACGGCGGGCCCATAGTATTGCAATACATGTTGGGGCGTGGTATGAACATTTCGGCCCATTTGAAACTTCTGCCTAAATTCGATTTTCACTTTGGTCTAAGTAAGGGGACGCATTCACACTGATACAAATTTGTAGGCCTTAAAAGTGGAGGGACCATTTTTTAGATTTGTTTAAATTTTAGCGGGACAAGCTAATGAATTGGCACGACTAAACAATTCCCATCCTAATTATAAATTAGCATATTTATGGCAAGCCAAGAACTCAATTATAGTATTTTATGCCTCTAGACACTTACTGTAACATAGATAGGGTTCAATTTTCGCTCAGGTTTAGCACAAAGAAAAAGAACCTGCAGGACAACGAGATAGAGTGTCTAATCTTTTGAAATCAGGACAAGAGGCATATAAAAATGATTGTACGTAAATAACATCAAAAGTCCTGATTTCAAAGATAGAGTGTCTAATCTTTTTTTTTTCACCTGGAGAACTTATAGAATTGTTACGTGCACGTATGGGGCATGCTTTGAAAAAAAAAAACTGTGAAAGTAATATATGAAAAATGAATATCGATGAGCAAAATAATAATAATGTACAATATATTATGAAAAATGGGAGAGAATGACTCATATTTTCTAATTTAAGAGTGAGGTGGAGATCGACAATGGTAGTGGTACGACGTTATGGGATAGGATGAGGTGAGGTGGACCATTCCACAAGAAAGTTGAAAAAGAGTCTAATGGAGGAAAGAGGGGCCATAGTCCCACAATTAGAAACCCTCTTGGACTCAACTGATCCACCTCCTGCTTGGGCTTTATTTTTTTGAAGCACACCCCTCACCTATTTATGCCATCTCTGCTTCATGTCCCTCTTTTCAAACGTGTCAGCATGGGGTTAACCATCAAATATTCCCCAAGATCAATAATGTATTCTTCAATTCCATTCGATGGTACGCGAGTTAAATATATTAGGATCAGATTGAATGGTATCTTTTATGTATCGTTTGGTTGGAAGGATGAAGTGAGAAAAATATATGAAAGGGAGAGGAATGATTGAGGCACTCTAAAAAAAAAAAAAAAAGAGAGGTTTACTTTTTGTTTGGTTAGATAGAATGAATAGTAAAAAAGATAGATGGTGTGATATATATATTTTTAATTATTATTAAAATGAAAGAAAAGAGAGTTTTTATATTATTTTTACCAATATACCCTTAGTCACTATACATGAAGAAATTATTTCATCCATACGTCATATCACATTTTCAAATTTTGTCCAAGTCCAAACAAGCTGAACGGCCTCAAATATCGATCGCACCTAAGGAGAAATTCGAAGCAAAGCTTATAGAGGTTCCTCACGTGCGGTTTGAAAATCAGCTTGTTGATGTACTCACCAAGGCGGTGTCAAGCCAAGTTTATTCGAGTTCTCGTTGATGTTACGAAGAGTATTTTAATTCGTAAAGATTGAATTTTTGAATAAAAATACCTCAATCAAGATACATTTTCAATCACTAGACCTTTTTAATATAAATCCCTCCAACCAAACATACCATTAGTCACTATATATATATATATATATATATATATATATATATATTATTTCACATCAATATCTCTGAAAAGAATTAAAAAATATATATATTATTCAGGTGGGGTGTACCAGGCCCAAATTATAGTGCAACGCCAAGGGTACACGCAAGAGGTCCCTTCAAAAAAATAAATTTAATATCTTGTGGCCATCGGCCAGACATTAAACCGATAATTGTCATCTTCTATTATGTTTTTTATGTGGTAATTGATCTCTCAATTCTTGCATGAAAGTGGGTCTCATTGTCAGATCCACTTTGCATAAGATGGGCTGCAATACAAAGACCCACCTCATCTAAAAGGCTAATAGCTAAGAGTAAAAGCAAGTGGATAGCATTCTATTGTTTGATTAAATTTATGCATTTGGTGGTCCAAATCCATCCTAATTTAACATAATGGATGAGATTCCATACTAATTTCAGTTTAAGCCCCCCTCAATCGTTACCATATACCGCCTTTAATAATTATTCCGGTGAAAACTGCCAAAATTTTTATAAGCTCTTGCTTAAAATAAGTGGTAAATTGGTAATTAATCAATGGCAAAAATATCTTATATTTATAAATATACTACGTACAATGCATATATTTTAGAGTTAGACATTGGAAATTAAGATTAAGCAAATAAAAGACACGACAGCTATGAAGATTGAAGCAATATACTCCGTAGGATTAATAACCATATTTTTTTCTTTTTTTCTCTTTCCATATATACAGAGGAGGGAGCAATTACATTTCTCTCTGAGATTCAGATTAGTGAAAACACAAAGCCAAAGCAACAATAACACAACCATTTGAAGGACCCGGCCAAAAGTTTGGGGAAAAAAAAACACACACACACAGTAGCTAGTCATTAATAGTGTGTCCGATAAGGATACCCACGATTAAAACCCACTCCTCTTCCTCTTCATTTTAGTTTCGACCCATTACCTATATATATATGAGTTAGGTTCTCTTTCTCTCTCTAAAACTATATATATTAATTAGAAAGAGAAACATATACTAGTCTCCTCCTCAAATTAATCAAAGCCAGAGAGCTCCAGCCTCCTTGAGAAGTGGAACAAGAGTGCCATTGATGTGAGAGGCCATGACTCTGTCCATAGCACCCACCAGCTTCCCTCCGATGAACACCACCGGAACGGCCGAAGGGCTGCCCAGAAGCCTCATCAAGGCCTTTTCCATGTCTTTGCCCCTGGGGTCTTCGTCCAGCTCATGGACAGTGGGGTTCACACCCATCCCACAGAAGAGCCTCTTGATGGCATGACACATGCAACAGCTGCTCATGCTGAAGATCACCACCGCGTTCTCAGAGGCCAGTCTCTCTATACGCTCCAATGGGTCACCAACAATACCACTCCTGCTTGTTGGCAAATAAGATCCCCAAGATTGAGTTTGGTAATGCATCCTTTCAAATATACACTGCTATATATATGGTAGCTATATATATATATAATACTAGCTAGCAGACTATATATATTTATAGGAATGGCAGAATGAATGTATATATAGACTATATATATATATATATGAATGATCAGTTGGTGAATGAGTGATGGAGGAGTGAGAAGTGAGAAGTGATTGAAGGTTTGGCTGGTATTTATAGAGGGTGACAAACAATCGTGCACAGTTCAAGTGAGAGGGAGGCTGGGGTGAGGGATTATTGTTAAACTACTTTTTAATTAAGGGGTAGTTTGGTAATTATAGTAGAGCTGATGTGTTATGATTATTCTTTTCTTGCTACAAAAGTTGGGTCTCTTACTGTCGTCAGCGCATGCAAGAGAAAGAAGGCATATTGTGTGAGAGAGAATTTCTCGTTTGCTCACTTTACTAGTAATAGGAATTTAGTAATCTTTAGAGCTCTTTGTATCATTTTCCATGCAATAACATAGTTGACTATGCTTCTTCGATTTTATACTCTTTCATAGTAGTATAAGATATTAATAAATAAATATATATATATTTATTTATTTATCCTTGGACACTAAGAAGTCCACACTTTTAATTTTCAATTAAAAAATAGGAGATTTAAGATTAAAAAATAAAAAAATCAAGAGGGTTTTATTTTAAAAAGTAGAAGAAGGGAAGCAATTAAATGTGTCACAATTTTTCATCACTTACTTTAATTAGAAAATGCATTGAATTGCTAAGTAGGCTCCCTCTTTTCATTTTAATTCATCCCTTAATTCCTTCCCCTCTCCAGATGCATGTATCATAAAAAATTAATATTCAAAATAATTAGACCAGTTTTAGCTTTAAAGAAGAAAAGAAAAGAAAGTAACATCATTCTGCTAATTAAACTTCTATTATAATAATAGTGTGTGTGTGTGTATATATATATATATTAAATAGTGTAAGATGGAGAGGGCAAGAGGAGGAGAGACAAGGTGAACAGGCTTTTTCAGAGGGGGAATTAGACGGCTGTTTCCGTCCTTGTTGTCGGCCTTATTTCGATCCAAAAGTCACGAACGTGGCCATCACAATTCATATTTCTTCTTTTTCGACGTGACCACCATGCGCATTTTAGCTTCCCTTCTACCATCGGACACCTTAACCCTATTTTTTTTATTTTTTTATTATTTTAAACCCTCTTCCCTTCAGCACATAAATTTTGCAACAACAGCAACATTGAGTTTGGATGTTATCCCACGTAAGCGGTCAGGATTAACTCGAATTTGGAAGAGGGTCCCATGCATAACATGTGGGATTGTGGGTCACATGCCGTTGATGAATATTCTCAGTGGCTCCGATTCCTAATTGTGCAACCCATTTTCGTTGGATTTGAAAAAAAAAAAAAAAAAAAGGAATTTTTTTTTTTTTTTTAATGTAAAAGAAATATCAACAGACTCATCTTAATTATTAGAAATAATATATGCTTGCTATCCAATAAGCATCAAATCAGATGGCAAAAATAAATTGCGTTTATCCACTCCCGTTTAGGATCAGGCTTTTCATTTAGGAGATGCGGCCATTCATCATCGACCCTTTTTAATATGCATATCTAGAGACGGGAAAGTTTATTGTTTTAACCGAAAGAACATTAAATTAATCACAAAGTAAAACAAGAATATACACGTACACACAAATAAATAGATATACTATAACATGTAGAACTTTTTTATCCATATCTACCACGCTGCATTATTCTTTACAAAGATTCGAGTCAATCATCATTATTCTTTTTATTTATAGAGGAGGGAATTGGAAATGGCTCATGTTCCGTTGGGGTCAAATTTTAATTCACAGCACCACTGATTTATCAACTTGTCGGTAAATCATGTTGAACATGTAAAGGTATACAATAGTACGGACAAATCGAGTAATTTTTATCTTAAAATGGTAACAAATTAAAGTCCTAATTAATTAATTCATAATAGAGCTGAAAAAAAGAGAATATAGCACTCAAATACAGTAACACAGTAGGACCGGTCCCACATAAACAAATTTCTGACACTTAGTAGGGGGAATGTGTGCCTCAAGTGTGTTTATGCACTCATAGATACGCATGCGTCAATGTCATGTAGATGTAATATATATGCGTGCATAAATATATTTGCGCAAGTATAATGAAAAAAGGTAGTAAGTTGGAACTAGAAACAATAAGTGGAGAATCCGTACGGGATATTTCTTTTGACAGAAAAAGAAGGGGTACCGGGGAGCTTGGCTTTTGTCAGAGGGAAGAGGTATGAGGTGCGGGCAAAGGGCTTATATACATTTAAATGCAGGTCTGTGTATATATATAATTACTTATATACACACAGAGGGGGTGAAGAAAAAGAAAACGATATTATTCGATTGTGCGTGTCGGGCTCCTTTTTTACTTCGTTACTTGACAACACAACAGTCTCGTGGAGTAAAAGCGGGAAAGAAAGATTAAAAGTAAAATTTTTAACCTAGGTCCAGTGGGATCGTGTCCTTCTAATTATTTCTCAATATTTTGATAAATATAATTTTTTTTTTTTTTTTTTACACGGGACAAGTATAGAAAATATCTCTAAAATATATTTTACATAGTACTTTTATTTTCTATTTTAAAAAGTGTACAAAAAAATATTCTTAATATTTTCACATTGTGTAAAAATATCTCATCTTGCTGTAATACCTATTTTGTTGTTTTTACCCTTCCAGAAATGCATAGGCTACTAACCTCATAGTATAGGGGTGTTATGTGCACATTACTTTATATATATAATTTTTTTGAAAATTTTTGCTCAACAAAAATCTCTAAGCCTATTTTTTAGAAAAAAAAAAAAAAACTTTGAGAATTTATAGAATAACAATTTGAGTTTTTTGAGATTTCAATTTACTATTTCTACTATATATATATATATATATATATATATATATATATATATATTGTAACCACACTTTAAAAAAAATATATATATATTTTACATAGTACTTTTATTTACTATTTTCTACTATATATATATATATATATATATATGTATATATATATTGTAACCACACTTTAAAAAAAAAAAAAATTCCAATATCAGTGTGCACTGGTTTTCAAAGTTTGAAACAAATTTGTTTTCTTTAGTTTGCACTCCATTTCATTTTTTTTTTCCTTCTATTTTTATCTTTACTTTTCTTTCATATTTTTATTTTCTATTTTTATATTTACTTGTCCATTGTCAGTCCAATAGTATCATTTTTTTTTTTTTTTTTTATCATTTTATAAAATTATTTATTTTTCTATATTTTATAAAATGGTTCAGTAATTGTAATTTAGTCAATTTATGGTTTAAAGGGACCTATTTGCACCAAATTAAAACTTTAGGTTTTTTTTTTTTGGTACATTAGAGGCTTTCTCCAACAGTGTCATTTTTGGTCATTTTATAAAATTATTTATTTTTATATATTTTATAAAATAGTTCGGGTAATTTAGTCAAGTAAGAGTTTAAATTTATCAGATGGACCTTTTTGCACCAAATTAAAATTTTACTGAGTATTTTTTTATATGTAAAGAGTGTAATATGCATTGTAAACATATACTTTAAGGTGTTTACACTTATATATATATTATATGAGTGGTGAACGTTGTTACCAAAAACTGTAAAAGGGTATTATATATTTTGTACAGTATAGAAACCAAGGGACTACTCCGCAATTGGTTTCCATACTAATTTAATTTTATAAAAACTAGATGGTGTAAGTATGTGTGTGTTCAAATCCAAAAGCTTTAACATTCTCTAATTGTAGGTAGGGATGGCAATTTTCTCTGACCCAGTGGGTTTTTGCCCCATCCTTGCCCCTAATAGGGTGGATTTAGTGGCCTGTAAATGAATTTGGGACGAATATGATAAAATAATTGAAAATTCGAAGCGGGTTTGGGACAGGGGTGGATTTAGTGCTAAACCCGCTTCTGCCCCGATTATATATGTACCTTTGAATTTTTTTTATATTTATAAAATATATATTTTATATTATTAAGATTCTTGTTATTTTGCTGGAAGTGTTTGTTAATATATTAGTATTCACTACATAGTAATTTAAAAGTTGGGTAAGCTTATTTATCAGTCCAATTTGAACATATTGAGCTAGTTTTTTTTTTTACTACTTAATAAAGTGGCATAATCTGGCCCGCTCCCGTCGCGCCCCATAATTAAACGCAGTACATGGAGCGAAATCAGTACTTTGTCTATCGGAGTAAAGACGAAGTTGGTATAACAATTACAAACTCGTTCTAGAATAGAGGTAGTATTGGTGTGATAGATTTTTTAACGAAACGGAATAGGGTTTAGTCAAATTCGTTCCAATTCCGCCCCATTGCCATCCCAAATTGTGAGAGGGTTGTTATTCATCGGCCCTCAACTTTCTGATATATGTAAATTAATTAAGCATGGCGGGACATTAATTAGTCATGACATGCATGCTATATACTTATATATCTCCTGTGCATTAGTTGAAACATTCTCTAATTATAGGGGGGCTGTTATCCATCGTCATGATGAATGCAAGTCTTACGTATGACCCGAAGTGTTAATATTTAGTTGTGATTATTTATAATTTTTTTGAAAATTTCCAATGGAATCTATTAATAACCTACATGTAATTTATTGTTGCACTCTACAGGTTATCACAAGTTCTATTGATTATACAAAAAAAATGGTATTTGTTTTTGTGCTAGAGATTTTTACATAATATATTAAAATACTTTTTAGACAAGTTTAAAATTAGTGCCTTTTGAATTGTGTTACTAATCAAAGGCTTAAAATTATGGATTGCATATATCTTTGAGACAAGTATAATTATAAAAATAATTTTCGAAAAAAGTATAATTATAAAAAAATATTTTTAAAAACTAACAGGGTTCTAAGTTTTAACAATTAACTTTACAAATTCAAAGGTTGGCACAAATATATAACGTACAGGTTTGAGAAGACATATATATTTATATATATAGTAGAAGAAGCTAGCTAGAGGTGGGTGGGTGGGTGGGTGGGTGTGTGTGGGGCACAGAGTTAGCATATACCGTGTTGAAGTGAAGATATGATTATGATGTTGGGGAAATTAGAGGAAGCTGAGGAGCATGGCGCCGCGAAAAGCCGGTGTATGACAGTTACATGGTGTATGCGTGTGTCCTGTCTTTTTATTTTTTCATTTGGAAGGCACAAAAAATGACGTGAAAAATCGCCATGTGCGGATTTATTGTGCACATGCGAACTTATTGTGACACGCTGATATTATTAACATGTGGGAGACAAGCAAGGTCACCTCCTCACTCCTATAGAAGGGAGCAGGGAGCAAAGCAGAAGGAGCCGGGCGGCTGCGAAAGAGAGATGGGAAAGAGAGATAACAGAGAAAAAGTTAAGGTAGCTATTCTCTGACTTATGCGTGTATCCTGTCCTCATAATTATAAATAGACAAATTAATCATATCAATTCAAATAACTCGAAATAAAAACCATTTCAGCTTGATTCTCTACTTTCAAAGCAATTGCCATAATTGTTAACGCACTAATTGTCAAAAACTTTGAACATAATTTTTATGATTTCTACCAACATAATTTTGTTTTGTCATGTACTTTTTTATTTTATTTTTTTAGTAATCTTAATTCTGAGAAAATTTTGCTAAACATTTCTCCACACAATAGGGTAAAGTTCAGACTTTCTCCACGAACTTAACTTGGAGGTAAGGTTAACTTGATAACTCTATATGTTGACTAGAAGACTGGAAAAACTAGAGCACCCTAATAGCAAACGTGGAAACAATCTATTTTTGGTTGGATGTTGTTCCCATTTCCCATTTGCCAATAAAGTTAAGTATTATTAATCCAGTAAACAACTTCCACAGTTTTCATTGTCCATGAATTTATTCAACTTTGGCTGCCTCAAACTCAATCTAATAAGAAGTTAGCAATTCGATCTTAAAATTTTAAATATTCAACAGTAATTCTTTTTTGAGTTTTTGTACTGGAACATCAATATTTCTGCTAGATTTTGGTAATGCAGAAAATCTCTATGTTTGAGAAAAAATGAGGTATATATCCTCAGTGACATATAGCTTTTGCACTAAAAGGGGTTAGGCATAACTCTACTCAATTTAGGAAAATAATTTATGATCACATTCAGCAATGTTTGGTAGGTTTCTCATGTTACGGTCAAGGAGGCACTTTTGGTTTCACTTCTTATATACGGAGAGAGTAAACTTGCAATAGAACTTTATTTTTGAGTTTAATTAACTAGGTGGATTGATGTTAGGTTTTTATTTTGCTTAGAAATTGTTTAATTAGGGTAGATATATCCACATGTTAAATTGAGTTAATAATTTTTTTAAAAAGAAAGAAATTGTTTAGGACATTAAATTTCAAATGGTCATAAAACGGCAATTAATATTTAAGTGTGATTGTAAAGCAAATTTTTTTTTTTTAATTTTTATTTTGGAACTTGAGACCGGTTATCAGCTACATAACAAAGTTTTTAGTATTATGTTCTTTTGTCAAGACAATGAAAAAAAGGTAGTGGAAAACTACCCCCACACACACATAAAATATTTGTGGTCGGCCAAAAATAACTAACTTCCTTCACAAATGGCCCAATAAACAACGTACTTAGTCCAATCCCCTATAAAGTGGCAATTGGCGTAAATTTGAAGAGACAAAAGCTGGTAAGAGTTAGTTGGTGTATGCGCACGAAGTTGTCATTAAGATTATTAATGGTAATTAGGCATTAGGATTTAGGCATGTCGGTTTATTTGTTTGTTTGTGGTCGATCTCATATTTTACTACTAAATTAGTAGGTTGGTTAAACAATGAATTAGAAGTATAAATAATATTCAAGAGAATCATATATTGGTTAAACAAAAATCAGAATTACAAAATATACGAGTTTATAAAACAGGACCCTGTGCCAACTGAAGCTGCAGGTAGTGGTGGTGGTGGTGGTGGTGGTAGTGGACGGCAAGTACGGACACAGTCTAAACCAGAAAGAGAAGGAGGTGGGGGTGCATTTGCAGGGATTGGATTGTCCCTTGGTCCCCCACTTTGACCATATAATAAAATGTTATTATTGAATCATGTTGCTTTGTTTATGTGATAGCGTGTATTATGTTCCCAATTTAATTTGTGCAGTAAAATACAATACAAAATATTACTACACACCAAAGTGTATATAAGATTCATCCAATCATTTTTTTGCTTACCCCTTTAAATATTACATGTAGTCTTTTTAGAGTGTTAGTATATATATTCTTTAATAAATACATATTTCACTTTAAAAATAGAAAACAATTCTATTACGGTATAAAAATTGTAAGGGTTTTTTTTTATATTATTATTATTATTATTATTATGTAAAAATAAATAAATAACACACTTCCCATATTGCTCCAATGGATTGGAAAACTCAGTTTTACTTAAAAAAATAATATTATTAAATCATAGGGATAGGAAGATTCATCACACCTTTGTGAAAGAGACGTACGTAGTTCAAGAATCGATCTATTTTTTTTATAAAAAAAATAAAAGATTAATACTAGTACTAGTAGTTAAATATCTCGTTTGTTTCCCTATGAGCAAAGCAAAGACTGACGCACTCTCCTTTTGAAAACTTACTTTGACGACTGCTTCAGCCGTTAAAGCATAGGACACAGGCGGCTTTTGTCAGCCTTTGTTCCCATTCACACACACACACACACATTAGAACGCCCCTCCTCCTCCGTTGACTACTTTTCTTCCTTTCTCATTTCGCTTTTTGCTCTTCCTTTGTCTCTTCGATCCACTTTCTTCCTTTAATTTAACCCTTTCTTTGTTTATTGTACACTAAATAACAAAGGGTTTCAATTAGCCCATCTTGAACTTTCATTTCAAGAAACCAAACATATGGTTTGAAAATATTTTAATATTCAAAGTATCGGAATTGGGATCGGACAGTGTTTTTGTCTCACTTTGTGTTCCCATATCTGTCATACTAGACTAAAGATGTGTTTGAATGTGTAATTTTTAATTCCATTAACAAGGTTTTGGCTGTTCTTTTTTCCTTCAAATTAGAGATAGTATTAGTTTATCTTTTTCCAAAAAAAACCAAGAAAGTTAGATAAAAATAGGCCACATGATGACAACCTGAAGTCCAGAGTACCTCTGCAGTCAAACTGTTACAACCACTCGACAATGCTCTGTAAATCTGTCCCATATCTTTGCTTTACTCCTTTATTTTTATCTCTTATATATAGTACACTAATTTCAACTCCGTATTATTTTTAACTTTTAACCCAACAAAAGCAATCAATCAACAAATTAAACACGCTAGCGTGCGAGATAGTATTTTCAAAAGGTCTGTCAACACGTCATGCACACGTGGACATTATATCACCGTTGTCCTATTTCCGTACGGTGTCCCAATACTAATCCCCCACTCCTGTTATGATTTACTGCACCTTCGATTCCTTTCAGTCTTGACCACCAGCTCAACACACAGTACACACACAGTAGGTCCTCTACGCTTTCAGTAAATGTGTTTTATACAGAATGAGAGAGAAAACGGTGGGTGCCGCACCAAATCGAAATGGTGCATTTTAACTGCTTTCTAATACTGTACTAGATACTACTAGTGCTACTAATCGCATGCATCCAGATGCAACTTTACTTTATTGATGCAATGCAATGCAACGCAGCAACGTAGATCATCAATTTAGAACCACACTCATCAATATCACACAGATTTTATCAGCACAAACTTTCTAATTTACACTATTACCGACCAACAGTCTTTATTTCTTTATTGGATGCTTGCTTAGTAATTAGAGTCGCGCAAAAACGCAATCAAATAATGCCAGCTTAATTCTGTATATGGGACTTCAACATCCACGTTCCTCCAATTTCTCATTAGTCACGTTCAATAGGTTATTCAAAAATTTACATCAATCACCACTGTATATAAAAAAAATAAAAAATAAATAAAAAATGTACTGGCGTCAATCAACACAGTACAAAAACAGATATTGGTATCCAACATTTATATCAATCAGCAGTACATACTTCAGCATCCATTGCCAGCCACCTTACCAGGCCAACACAGTCTGCGGTTTACCACATTGCTACTTCAGGTTGTATTCTGGCAAAATACCAGAAAGGAAGATTCTCAACATTGCATCCCAAAAATTACTGTTAGGTATGAACCCCACAGCCACAACCAAGGTTAAATTACGGATTCGACATGGTCAAACTAGTTATCTTCAATTCAACAACACAATGGAATTATTTCAACTCCATAAATTAAAGACAGTTGGAAATATGAGTTACAAACATTTACTTGAGATGTGCAAAACCTAATTATGTATGTCTACTCAGAAAGCACAACAGATGTAGGGAAGGTTTGAGACTGACTTCTAGCAAAGGCTAAAAAAGAAGCTTTTAAAGAGACTTAATTACCACAACAGGTCTTCTTCATTTTGAGACCCACCAGAGATGGATAATTCTACTGCCGAGGAGCCATGGGCAAAGATGATGGCTGGCCATAAAAACCACCTTCTGGTCCTTGAAAACTCTGATAAGGATTTGTTAAAGGCGCTGCAAAGGGAGAGACACCATTGATGGGAGCCCCTACAATGGGATAACCAGGCATGAGTGGTGGATGCGGTTGGGCTGTACCATAACTGTATGGTACACTAGATGTTGATCCAGCAGTCTGCATGAAATGGGGCACCGGATATGGTTGCATAGGTGGCAATGGTGGCAAAGGGGGAGGAGATGACGGGGGAGGTGGTTGCTCATTTGGAGTCAATTCTTGGCTTGTAGATGGGTTGTTGTGTTGCAGTGAGTCAGGATGTGGAAAAGGTGGACCCGGTGCTTGGGAAGTCTGAGGTGGTATGTAAGAGTGATCATTCTCAGGCTTATGCCTTTTTTCGGAAGGATAATCACTGGAAGATTCTTTCATTGGATTACCAATGACACCCTCTGATGCTAAGGAAGAGAGGACATAAGTCAGCATTTGGGCTGAAGATGTTGATGCGGTGAGCTTTGCTGCCACTGCAGCTGCCGCAGATTTGGGGTCCTCTTCGATGTGGCCAGATTTTTCAGCAAAAGGTACCTGTCGTGTGTACATTACAGGGGCTGATCTTTCTCCATTTCCTGCTGTAAAACAGTGAGGCGCTTTGGAGCTGTGAGTCTCCTTAATACTCTGCGCAGCGAGCAACTGCACGTCATTGCTGTTCATTAACTGTCTGCAAATATTACCAGCCTGTTCTGACTGGGAATGAGCGGCCTGAAAGCAATACATATGAAAGGTAGATCATGCTACTTAGAATGGGGTGAAAAGAAGGCACTCTCCAAAAAAGTAACAAGCATTCACACAAAAATTTAACAGAGAGTTGGCAATTTATACCAGAAAAAACAGTAAAACGATTAAAAAAGCTAACACTTACAGAAACACAAGGTAATGAGAGTGACAGAAAATTCATGCTTCTTGTGTCATACCATCCTGCTATAACCCAATAACATTTACTTCAAATGTAATTCTGCTCTCTAATTTTTTGTGATCATGACTAAATTGTATCCACAGTTTCGTTCTATTACACATCCATTTTTTTCAGATAGCTCAAGAGAAATCTGGTTCATCAAACCCTCGTTTTCAGCTTTCTCATGACTAAATTGTATCGACAGCTCATGAGAAATCGGGCTCGTATTGACGTAATGTACCAGAATCGATTATCACGGTCGTGAAATTTTTTGGACCTCGCACATAACCCCAAAATGCACCGATATGCTACTTTTTAATTCAATATAGTGGGTTTTTACTTTTTAGTGAATTTTAATTATTTTTATTCAATTTTTGAAGCCGAATTAGCAAAAGTAGCGACTTATTCACAAATTCTAAGTCCCTATTGTTACTAAAAAGGTAAAGTAATTGCACTTTTTATTAAGTTAATAACTAAAGTATGAATAAAAGAAAATTCATACTATATATAATGTGGGGGATTTAAAAAACAGAAAATAAATAAAATAAATAAATCTGAAAAACAAAATAAATTAAAAAAACAATACAAGTTAAATTATGAATCATCATATATATAGCATTTATATCTCAAAACAGTTGCCATTTCTACGTGAAAATAAAAAATACACGAAATAACAATTTTTTGAAAGTGGGAGTGTCTCCAGAGTGTTTATCTGTTAAGTAAAAATAATTTATTTACATGTCATATTATCTATCATAATTGATTATGGGTAAAGTGCAAAAAAAAAAATAAATAAAATAAAAATAAAATAAAATAAACCCAGTTATATACAAAATGTGTGAAAACCCCCCTGATATTAATTACATATTATATAAAAAAATTTACATAAAATAACATTTTTCAAATTGAGCAAATAAGGATATTTTCCCAATTTGAAGATTGAACTACCTAAAATACCCAAGGCAAAATAATTATACAAAAATAAAATCTCATTGACAAGAGAACATGTCGGCTGAATTTGGATCCAAACCACCTCTTGGGTCTTGTCTTCACCATCCTCTCCGTACGGAAGCAAGGCCATCATCCAGTACTCCACAACAGGTTTTCTATTTATTTTTAATGAAGACTGGGCATGCAAAACTGTTAATTTTTTGTTCAATACTAGAACAACTTTAGTTTGTATTAATTATACAGAATATTGTTCAATTCTTGTTTTTGACATTTTAATAATTTTAGCTTATTGATTGTATATATATGTTAGGCAAAGTATGTATGCAGAATTGATATTATTTTGTATTGGGCTCGTAAACAAGTTTAGTTTATTAATTGTATATACAGTGCAAAGTATCTTGACCTCTTCTGATGTCTGTTACTACCTGGACCGACTAGCAGTTTAGGCAGAGGGACACTGTCATACGGGCGCTTCAGCGTGACAATGTTGAATTGAAAGAGATTGGGGAGAGAGAAATATTAGAGAGAGAGAGAGAGTTCACTGAGGGTATTTTAGGGGTTTTATAAATAAATAAAAAATGGTCAAAATTGATGGCCAACAGATATTAGGGGACAATTCTTGATTATGTTTAAGGTTTTAAGCATTTAAAGGTTATATATGTAGTTAAAGATGCACACAGTTCATAAAATACAACAAATGAAATAGTTATGCATTGAATAATTAAAGGACACAAGGGTGTGGTGGTTAAAGTTTTGTTCATTCCTTCACTTGGTCTTCGCTTGCCCTCAAGTTCAAACCTTGTTCCTTTTGCTTTAATTTTTATATTTTTATTTTTTGCCATGGCCCAAGTCACATAGAGCGGGGGCGGGAACAAGAGCGAATTTGAGGGCGGGAGCGTAAAAGTGACAAAATCCAAAATTTTGTAAGAGCAGGAGTGCCTCCAAAGCGCTTGTGCACTCGTGTGCTACTAAATATATGTGTATGTACAACATGTTTTCAATATTTCTACCTATACTAATGACCATTATATACTTTGTGGGATAATAAAAATGTAATTTCATTAACACCCCAGGAAATGTGTTTGAGCTATATTATTCTTATTTCTTCTATATTAGACGACGTGAGAAATCTACATATTTATTGCTGTTAGAAGATGTTATATTTAGAAAATATAATTATAGGAACCTTTAAATTACTCCTCGACAGAATATTTGATATGAGAATATCTCAGGAGAGATTTTAGCCTATGATAGAATATTGATTGGAGTGATTTATAGTATTGATTTTAGGAATCTTCCATTAATGTATTTTCCATATTTATCATCTCTATTCTTTCATCTATAAATAGAGGTGATCATTGTATACAAAGATTGAGAGAGAATATATTATTAAAGTGATGTAGATATGAGAATATCTCAGGAGAGAGTTTAGCCTATGATAGAATATTGATTGGAGTGATTTAAAGTATTGATTTTAGAAATCTTCCATTAATGTATTTTCCATATTTATCACCTCTATTCTTTCATCTATAAATAGAGGTGATCATTGTATACAAAGATTGAGAGAGAATATATTATTAAAGTGATTTAGCCCTTTGGACTCTTTGGGCCGTAGATGTAGGCACTAGTGGCTGAACCACGTAATATCCTTGTGTTCTTCGTATTTCATTTCTCTCTTCACTTCTGTTTTATGCTTTACAACATGGTATCAGAGCCTAATTTCTCTTCCTAGGTTCGGACCCCTATTTTGGGGCATTCCCTTAGTATCTGAAATGTTGCTAAGGGTTTCTCGGTTCTATTTGTGACTTATTTGGGCTGTCTGTGTGTTCGGTAGCATTGTCTTCGTCTTTGCCGTGTCTCCGATAGTTTTTTATTGACTTGTTTGGGCTACCGGTGTGTTCGGTAGCATTGTCCGTAACCTTCGCCATGTGTTCGGTACTATGTGGACTTGTTTGGGCTACTAATGTGTTCGGTAGCATTGTTCTTCGCATTCACCGTGTCTCTAGCAGTTTTATTGTTTTTTTCCAAATCGTTGGAAAATGATTTGTTTCCTAATTTAATATGCAAGTTGAGCGTTATTTCCATACACCTTTAAGCTTGAGGGGGAGTGTTAGAAGATGTTATATTTGGAAAATATTATTATATGAACCCATAAATTACTCCTTGACAGAATATTTGATATGAGAATATCATAGGAGAGATTTTAACCTATGATAGAATATTGATTGGAGCAATTTATGGTATTGATTTTAGGAATCTTCTATTAATGTATTTTTCATATTTATCACCTATATTCTTTCACCTATAAATAGAGGTGATCATTGTATACAAAGATTGGAAAAGAATATATTATTAAAGTGATGTAGCCATTTGGGCTCTTTGTACCGTGGATGTAGGCCCTAGTGGCTGAACCACATAATATCCTTGTGTTCTTCGTGTTTTATTTCTCTCTTCACTTCTGTTTTATGCTTTACAACAATTACAAATTCTTAAAAGAGAGATTGTTTAAATGAGATATCGTTATGCATTCAAGGATTCACAAAATTAAATTTGTGAATTGGGGAAGGATTTGCTCTCTGAATGCCAATGCGTGCGAGGAGCATGATAGCGGCACCCCTTTAGAAGGATTGTGACTTAGTCATGGCAATTAAGTCCCACAGTTAGGGAGACTCGAACCCTCTACCTTCCACTTTGAAAGGAGATGAATACCACTAGGCCACACGCCTTGGTGCATTCTAATGTTTTAAGCAAACATTTCATGTAATGAGCCTGAGTCCAATCTGGAGTAGGTGAACCGGAGCGCTTGCAGACCACATCCAATTTAGCAAAACTAACGGGTTCGCTTCCAATGTGAAATTGAGTCCCGCCAATAAATCAGTGAGACTCGCACTCATCCGGTGCCAAGCCCGTTGCGAACCAGCCGATTCGGTAAACCATGCTTTAGATGCTTACGATCCAATGCCATATATTAATAAGCACAATAGACACAAGGCTTTATATTCCCAAGGATAAAGACATAGCATTTAAGAAGATTTATTCAAAATTATTTACCTTTTCCTTTTTCCCGTCCAGAGTTATGAGGGATTCATATGTTTAATATTGTCCCAACTAAACTAAGCTTAGACAAACTACAAAGCCAGATGCTAGTTCCTATAATTTACCTCTTGAAATTTTTTGTACTCAAACTCAACAAAGCATTTTCTCAACTTGAATATTCTAACAAATATACACACACACATGCAATACATATATATGTATACATATACACTGAAACGAGTTTCAACTATGCAATTTCCAAGTAGAGCCAACACAAGATGCAAAAGAGTTACCTGAAGTTGATTGCGCACTTGATCCAGCTTAAATTCCTAATAACATAACCATAACAGCTCTTCATCACATTAAAGAAAGAAAGACAAATAAGAACACATATAATCTCAAAGTCCTAGTATATGTCAGATAAACCAACCTGCTCCTGGAGAGCCTCCCTGAGATGAGACACAAGATTTGCTCTTGATGATTCAACTGCCCTTAGCTGTTCTATACAGTCTCTCAATATAGTGTGCTGCCCCTGAAGCTCCACCACAAAGCCAGATCCATCAAGTTTCCCTGTTCCCAAAAAAATAATAATCAATAAAAATATACAGTTAATATTAATATTACAAGAAATAGGTTCAAGCAATCCTTTTAAGACAGACAACAGAAGTCAATTGTATAAGCAAACTGCTGAGAAATATGAGTAAAATCCCAAAACTTCAACATGTATTCAAGCAATCATCTACTAATTCTGTACATCCAGGAATCATTTCTACACCAAAAGACCATAATTTTTATCTTTGACTTGGAGGCAGTGCAACAAACTCCGCAGTTATTTATCTGCATGGAGTAAAGAAAGTGCGACGACCAATTTAAGTTGCTTTGAAAGAAGTACAAGATTACATGCTCTATACATTCTAAGAAATCAAATGCTGTAAAATTTTCATTAAATAGAAAAGCAACCAAAGCAGCAGTTACTTAGAGCTCACTCCAATCTTTTGACATGTAGCCTGCCTTTATATTGCATAACATGACAAGAATTTTGCAGAGTTCTAGAATAAAGAACCGTCTTAACTCCAAGCACCATCTGCAATTACCAATCTGGCAACACCACTTTTAAATCAACACAAGGCTATGAAGCTTGCAAGTCTTCACAGTTTCAAGGTAAAATAAATAAATTGATGCAAATGTGCACATTCATGTATAGCTGCCCAATTGAATTGCTTTCTCATATATATACTTTACATAGCATGCACAAAAGTGTGAGCTTATCAAATTCTAATTAAGAAAAATAATTACTTAAAACAAACTCTGAACTAGTATTACGTCGCCAATAAATGATATTGAATAAATTAGAAATGTAACATAATAACAAAGCAAAAACATTATTCTGCAAAAAGAAAATTACAAAACTACAGAAATAATAAACCACATTGGAAACCTGCAGAAATATTAATGGAATTATATTCAGTACTTCTGTAAAAGAACACTCAAGACATACCTGAACTAATATCACCACCAATTTCCTTGTCCGCTTTCTCAATACAACTAATAGCATTCCTACATTTGCTCAATATAGCATCCTCGTCCAATTGGCCACCATACAGAACTTGATAATCAGAAACTATTTTATCCAAAGCATTTCCAGCAGAATGTTTCTATTTGACAAATATAAAAGATGATATTATTCTTAGTTTACATAGGACCTTAGAAAGAAAATATTTAAAAAACATGCATTCAGCACACAGACATGAAGTTACCAGTTTAAACCCGGAAAGCTTCCCATTTCTATTACTGTTCTCCAGGTGCTTTCCCACAAGCTCTTCCTTAAGAATCTGTCCTCGAGAACCAAAAACTTTTCTTTCCTCCCATATACTGATCTGAATACAGGAGCCACCGAAATACACAATAAGAAATACTACACCAATTAAAATTTTGATATTCTAATCATAGAGTTAACTCAAAAGATATAGATATATACAAAATACTGACAAAAATAATACTTAAAAAAAAGAAACAAACAGAAAAATAATTGCACAAACAAAAAGAGTGGGATTGGGTTGAAGACAAAGGAGCAAACTACTTGCCAAATGTTATTCCCTTTTCTTTTAGATATTTATACTATATAAAAGTGGGGCTTTTTCGTATTTCCAAACAAATTATATATATATATATATATATATATATATATATATATATTTAAATACAAAAAAAGTGTCTTTCATTAAAAGTGTTTGCATTAATGGTTTATATAAAGTGTCTGTATTAATTGTATATATAGATATAGATATAAAATTGTTGAAAATTTCTATTTGAAGATTTATATGGGAACCTTTTAGCAAGGGTTCGTGCCCTTTGGGTTGCACAGGAAAAGGAAACGTGGAAATTCATATGGGACCCTTTTGGCAAGCGTTGGGGTCCTTTGGATTGTGCAGAAAAAAGAAAACGTCTAGAAATAAAATTATTAATAATCACAATTTAGTATAGAATGTATATTTAACTCATATACGAAATAGCATAAAATTATTGAAAATGTTAAAAATAATAAATAATGTAGTTTTTCTATCTAAAGAAGAGGAAAAGTTTCTCAATGATTTTATATGGACATATTTGAACGTATCATATTAATAAATGTGTGTATAATTAAAGGCCAAACAATCTGTCTGTTGAGAAAAGAAAAAGACGTGTGAATTTAGGAAAGAAAAAATAAATAATAAAGGTAATTTAGCTTTAAAGGGTACTATTAACTATTTGTCTGTTAGGAAAAACAAAGAAGATAATTTAGCTTTAAGAATTGTTACCAAAAGATTTTAGAGTTATAACTCTTGTGAGTTTCAATTGCTTCGAGACAAATGAAAATGGATAGTAATGAGATTGTAATTTAATATACATTTATCAAGAATTGATTAGACAAAATGTACATACTCATGACACTCCAGTACTACTCAACAACAACATTTTTAACAAAATGCACGTGTTTATGACACTTGAAATTTTCAAGGGAAAATTCTAGACTAACCCGGGGGTACCGTACCCCGGGTCTACCAGCCATTGGATGTGGTGGTGGGGCCAATCTGATGAATGATCCAACAGCTGGGAGACACCGAGGGTACGGTACCCCGAGGTATTGTAGAACTTCTCATTTCCAACAATCTCTCACATGGAATTTAGCAGTTACATTCTTATGTATCTCTATCAAGTTTTAACTAAATCACAATTTTGATATGGTCCAAAAGATGAAATCAACTTTGTCCACCTATTGATATATATTCTCACATATCGATTTTAAATTGTAATTGACATTGTTTTTCTTATAATTCAAGCTTCATGACGATGGTAGTGGATCGAGTCATCGGAGACAGATAATGACCATAATTGCAAATTTGCAATGGATTTTCGGAGGAGTGACTCCACGTCGTAGGAGGCTTTTAGAGAGCAACAAGTCACCGTTCACTGTTGAAGAAGTCAAAGCCAAACTTAGAGACTCAAATCCTTAGACACGTCTCTTACTTTTTCTAAATTCTTTGTAAAGATGAAAACCTTAAAAATATTGAGTCTTGTCAATTGCAATGGTTTTTCTGACGGGAGACTACACCATGTCGTCTTCACCGCCAAGGATTCCATTGGAGGCTTTCAAAGAGCAAGATGTCACCGTCCACTGTTGAAGAAATCGATGCCAAACTTAGAAACTCAGATCCTCATAGACGGGTTTCTTGCCTTCTTTAAATTCATGTAATTATAGCAATTCACAATTTGATTGTTGAAATCCTTTTTGCTCTGTACTTTGTGATAATTTTGTTTGGTTTGTGAGAAATTTGAGAAGAGAAGTAAATATGAAGAAAAACAATATTGAGTCTTGTTAATAAAACTTACTAAAATTTAGCGGCACAGTTGTGTTAGGCGCTTAGATTGCGTTTTTTTTATAAAAAAATTTGAATAGAATATAATACTCAACCCTCAATTTATAATTTTTTCTTGCACGCCAAAGCCATGTAACATGTTTGTGAAAATTATAAATTGGCCATCTAAAAGTGTAAAAGAGCAGAGAATAGATCTATTTTATTTACCATCAACTATCAAATATGAGTGGAAGTTGTGATAACATGACAACATAGATAATCTAAAAGTAGTTTGCAGAGTATCAATAAAAGTAATTTATCTTTAGAGTTACAATCCGGTGAAATAAAAAATAGTTTATGCTTAAGAAGGAAAATCAAAAGAAAAGATCATTCCTATAATGAAGGTTTTGACCATTTATCACTTTCTCATTTATTGACTTGATTTTTCAAAAGTTCTTTGTTATAGCTTCAATTATTATTTTTTAAAATTTGGTATTTGATCTCACAAGTAATCTTGTTATAGAATCACACAAGATACATATTAGTATATTTATTACGTGCAAATTTAAATCTACATCTATAATTATCTATATTTTTCTATTAAAATTGTGTAAATTTGTTATTTTACATAAATTTTTTAAGAGACACAAATAGTATGTTTGTGTCGCTTAGAAAATAGTAATGTACCAATGACAGATACTCGCTTCTAAGGATTATCAGTGGGTATGAAGATTGCAAAAATAGGTTGATCACATGTATTTCTTCGAAATTGCATTTATATGATTTTTAAAGAAAAAGTCCTCTCCGAGTTGATCACTTATGAATCTAGCATTAACATACTAAAGATTTTACATTTTTGTTTGTGCTTTAATTAGTTTTCCTAATAATTGCATAACTTTATATTGTTTTAATAACAATTCGCAAGTGGTAGATTATGAACTAGAATTCATGATTTTTACCTATCACGAAAACAAAGATAACAAAAATTACAAAGATCCTCTTATATAAAATATTGTTATGTGACCTCTTTATTTAATTTTTACATCCTTCAGCAATTATTATTTTACCACGTGCATCGTGAATTATACAATTATATATTAATATATATAGGTAGGGTTAAATTCACAAAACCCTCCTATACTTTCATTTTTGACACTTTACCCCTAGTACTATTAAAGTCATCACAGAGCCCCTTTCCATTAGATTCTAGACTAACGGAAAATATTTGTAATGACTTTAATACCCTTGAAGCAACCCTAGCTACATAAAATGACTAAAATACCTTTTAACACCAATAATAAAAGGGTTAAATTTATAAATAAGATACAATATATAATCTATTATACTAAAAGTTGAAATTAAATAAAACTATCAAAATAAATTACATTATATAATAAATTAGTAATTATACAATTAATGCATTTTATAAAAAGTGTTCTACATTCTAGTTATTTCCTCATGTAAAATCATGGAAGACAATAAGAAGTCCATCCCCTGAATCTCACTATATAAAAAAAATTTGCTAAGAGAAATTTATGGGCAAACATGCTACAATTATATTACAGAAATCAAGATAGTATGACTGGATCAGAATCAAGAAGACCTTCCACATTTCCTTGTAGAAATTTAAGAAAATTATATGCCTTGACTTGCTTTCATATAAAGTTTCAGCATGCCTCATACAACAAAAGGCTTTGAGAGTCAAAAGAGAGGATGCGTCACATTTTATTATACATAAATAAAAGGACAGGACAGGACAGGCAAATGCTAAATCTAAAGGGATAGATAGATATATTTACCAGGCGTAGAGCAGCATGTTTTCCAAACTCGTCCCCACTCTCAGTTACATCACGGAGTGCATCAGGAAGAACTTTCCAAAACTCACCAACAAACTCTGAACCTTTTCGCCTACTGTTCTGCAGAATGTCATTTGCGAGATATAGAAAAGCCAATCGCTGCTCACGTGGGGAGCAGTGAAATTGTCGAGCCCATGTTTCAACCACTTGTTTCGCCTTGTTCATATGGAAAATACACCAATGTGATAGAGCTTAATCATGTCAAGGGTAGCGTGTGATAGAAGAATCTAATAATGACTAAAATTATATGGTTAATAAATGTAAGGTGAATAAATAAAATACTTCAAAAAATGCTAAGATAGCATCATAATAGAAGATGGTAATGAGGCAAAGAATAGGATGTAAAGTGAAACAACAAATCATAAGCTACATGTAATCCCCCAGATTAATCCATAAACGAAAATCTTATATGCATAGTGCAGCACAATGATGCCTATAACATATTGAAGATAAGAAAGTGAGTACATGTGCCAAATAAAAATAAAATAAAAATTACAAAAAGGGGACTCTGAATAGTACAGGAGAATATTCTGGATGAACATTGGTATCCGCAAAAATTATTCTTCAAAGCAAAAACAATTCACAGGTATTCAATATATGAATTCTTCAAACTAAAAACATCATAATCCAAATCTTATTTGAAGAACAAAGACTTCCAAGATTCAGTTCCATAGCAGATAACATAAACTAATATAAGTTTTTGGTCCTAAAGGAGAACCAACTTCGTAAAAGAACAAAACCTAAACATAACAGCATCAGATACATTAGTACTGCAACAAATGGTGCTAGCCATTTGCCACTGCCACCATGACAGGAAAATGACCTCTCTGTAGGAGTGAAAACAGCCAAAAAAAACATAGAGAGGGTTGTATCACTGCCTCAGCAATCGATTTAAAGACAAGAGGATACTCTCAATGCTCTGCTGTGAATTATTTAGCTTGGCCAGCTTTTCCACCAAAATTTGCGGATTGAATGAACTGCCCATCGTCTCTGATAAAAGGCTGCCCACCCCACTGATATAATGCGAGCAGGCCTTTGAAAGAGAAGCACCCTTTAAAACAACATATATACAACAAAATCAAGGTTTCTGGCAAAATGTCATAAACACAATATATCAACATATTAGAAGTATCATCTGATTAAGTAATATTTTATGACAAATAACCAAAGACAGAAAAAGCCCCCATCCTCCTCTTGTTTTCTCTCCCTCTAAGTTTAAAGTGAAATCTCAATGCTTTTGGTTTTATGGAAAGGCATCAACTACAAATGTGAAATGCAGAGTTCAAACGAGAAAAAGGAAGAAAAAGAACAGGGAAGAAGATGATAAAGTTGACATAAAAAAAGAAAATTGAATTTTTATTTTTATTTTTATTTTTAAAACTAACAGAATTTAATCTTAACATCATCATCATTTATCCAGCTACGTCTGCGTGTGGTGAGAATACTTTTATCGATAAGTTGAAAAACTAAAAGAAGAAATCTTAATTCAAAGCACTTGAGGAATTATTATCTAACATGACACTTAATTGTATGAACACAAAAAGTAATCTTACTTTCAGATGGAAACCTCTAAGACAAAAGCTCTCAATAGTTCACTTTTAGTTATTTATTTATATCTTGCAATTGTCATCAACACGCTATATTTCTTAATTAACTTTGTGCTCAGGAAACTTAATCGATTAAAGGAATTGTTATTAACAGAAGAAAGAATCATAAGAACATGCAGGAAACCAAAAGATCATATAGACTCCGTTTAGTCGGCAAGAAAACATAAGTAAGGGGGGAAAAAGAAAGAACCAGATATAAAAACGGAACTCGAACAAATAACAGTACAGAAGAGAGACGCACAAAAAAAGGTAGAAAGTTCCAATTTTTTTGAATTGTTTTCCTTCGTTTTCTCAGCAGCCAAACGCAGCATTCTAAAAACAAATTCACAATAGATTTCATGATGAACCCTAATTTTAGTGCAAGAAATTGTAATAATCAACCGAAACAAAAGATAAAATATGAAACAAATCGTATGGATTAAACGGCAAGAGTGATTTAAGCAGGAAAACGAACCTTTTTAGGAAAAATGTGGCGGTGGCGAGGCGTTTGTGTGTGTTCTGGGTTTCATCATGAACTGATGATTTTAGAGGATAATTAAGGATTTGTTTGGGAAGTCCAGCGGAAAAAGGCTTTCGAATTTCGTTCGACAATTGATGGTATAGAGAGGATAACTGTATGAATTGGAGCCAAGGGAACCGGAAGTACGAAGCCAAACAGTCTGTGTGTGTGTGTTCGGAGACGAAAGTGAGGAGGTAAGGGCAGCGATGATGTTTCGATACAGTAGGAGGAACCCAACTTATTAAACAAACACGGGTCTTTTTTATGTTCGGCTTTACCTTAGTTCGCATTCCAGTCCGGTATTGAAACTTCCGAGTGTAATTTCCGGAAATACCCTTCTTAGTTGAGGCATTGCGTCATGATTGCGGAGACTGGGAACATTAACGAACTCAAAACGGCGCCGTTTCATCGACACGTGGGGAACTGAGTGATTGGACACTAAGAACCCGCCACGCCGACGTCTTGTCGCTGTTAAAATAGAATTCTATTTTGACCTGAATTTGAATTGATTGACCCACAGTTCAAATTTCCATGAGAATTAATTAGAAATTTGATTCCGATCCAACTAAACATAAATGCATATTTTAATGAATCGTAATTTTCTTTTTCCCTTATATAAATTTGCTCAACCATCACAATTTTGGAAAATTATATGTATTAACATCTGCAAATAAGCAATGAATATATATATATATATATATATGCACTTATTAACTTATATTTGAATATATTAATATGAGATAGTTTAGTTGGTCTGTATAACATTAATAGAATACATATCTATATCTATGATATTATTAAAAATAAAAATTATTTATCCATATCAGTATCTATATTATATACTTTATATTATTATTAATCTATTTATATCTATATCAATATTATTATTAAAAGTATAAAAATACATTAATGTGTTTCAGATCATTAAATTATAAATAATATAAAATAAAATACCAATAAACAAAGTCTAATTAAAATAAAATATCAATAAACAAAGTAAGAATAATTACACTAACCTTCCTTGAGGTTTCGTCAACCTACACTGACCTCCCCTCTTGTTTGTCATATTACACTCACCTCCTTCCAAGTTCGTATATAGATAACATAGACATCCCTCCGTTAACGGAAAACACTGTTTCTGACTGAAAATGATGATGTCAGCAATTTTTTATGTATCAAATTCCCATTCTACCCTTGTGGGCTTCAGTTTGGGTGACCATCATCTTCAACGAAACCCACGAGCTTGAGTTTGGGCTCACCATTCCGGTGAGCCTCCGAGACACATGGTCAAGCAGCAGCGTTGCTTAAATGAACCAATCAGCAAACAAATCGGCGAGAACACTACTCGGTGTGAAACCCAGTTCCGGCGAACAAACTGCAAGTCCGGTGACAACAAAATCATTGTCTCTTGAGACCTTCCTTGGTTCCGCTGACACCAAAACCTAGTTCGGACTGAACCACATCGGAACCAAAAATTTGTAGACAAAGAAATATAGATACACACCGAGAGAGAACGCTTAGCTTTTGATAAGGGCAACAATGGTTGTTGGGAAGGTAAAACTCGCAATGGGCGGTCTGTGATGGTGCCGGGAAGCTTCGTCAAGATGGGTCTTGAAGGTTGGTCGAAGCTAAAGATGATGCTGGACTCTCGCTGGAACTAGGTGTCGCCGAGCAAGCTACGACTATAATAGTGAATAGTCGCGATTCCGACGGTAGTGAGCAACATAGTGTATGGATCCGGCCGCGATGCAATCACTGAATTTAACAAGAACAGGCCAGCGAGCAAACAAGAACAGGGGCGAGCAATGATGAACAGCGGTAAAGGAGCTTACCGGTGAGGACAAACTGCGACATGGAAAAATCACCGGCGAGGAATGAAGAATCCATTGGCGAAGCTCACGGCGGCAAACGGCAAAGCTCCATATTGTGACGGCGAGCTGATAGTTTTGGCGTAAACCCATTTCAGTCTGGCAAGTTGGTGCACTCCTCTCCGGCAACGCTTCATGCAACGAGCGGACCCATTTTCGTGATGGCTGAGAAAGCTATTTTCTCTCTCTACGAACAGATACAACTTCTGTTTTTTTTTTTTTTTTTTAAAAAAAAAAAAACAAGAATCAGTTTAGAATCATTCATGTGGTTTGGGTCATGTTTGGCTGCCGGCGCGGTTTGGGTTGAAGATGACGGTGTGTGGATGGTTATGGCGTGTGTATATATATATATATATGTATGTATATACTGTATACAGGATTGCAGGGTACGTGGACATGGTGTTCGCCGGCACCATCTTCCATTGATTCAGGTAAACATCCAATAGAATTGGAACTTCATTGATTTCGGTGAACTTTGATTGAACCATACTTCAACGATACAAATACAGAGCTATACACGTGTATATACGATAGGTTAGTGATTTATATATGAGAGAGCTTGTTCATTAAGAGACCCAACCGAGAGAGAGCTTGAAGAGAACAGTGCCCGTGGGATACGTATTTCTCATTATATATGTGGATATATATATATGTGTGTGTATGAAGTCGCACAGTGGTCGCCATTGTGGCTTTCACCAGACTGAACTGAGTTCGCCGGAGAAGGTGTTTGGAGCACCGTGATGTTATTGCAAAGAGAGAGAGTGGACAAAGGGTAAATTAGTAACTTTACTCTTTCTATTAACGCCATCCATCTTTTATGCTTGTTAGGGGAGATGAGTGTAATATGACAAACAAGAGGGGAGATCAATGTAGGTTGACGAAACTTCAGGAGAGGTTAGTGTAATTGTCCCAACAAAGTAATCAGTAATAGGGATGGCAATTTTTACCGCCCCGTCCCGCTCTGTTAATAACAGGATATGGAAACAAATTTTATACCGTCGGAGCGGGTATGGATACATTTTTTGTACCTGCCGCGGGTCACGGGGTGGGGACGGGTTCTGATTCATATCTGCTCCGCCCCGCCCCGTTATATATAATTCTTTAAATTTTAATATATATATATATATATATATATATATATATATATATATATATATATACATACATATTATAAGTTACTCTATATAAGTTATAACACTAATGCATAGTAGCAGTGTCTCCACATCCGCAAGTTCACAACACAGGGGTCGACGCATCTTACCCAAAAACCAAACTCTCGGTCCACTTAGGCAGTTGAGATCGATGATTCATTTGAATCTCTGGTAAGATCTCTTGATTCTCTTCAAGTTTTTCTTGCGTACTTGAGGTTTGGGTGACCTGCGCAACACAAGTTAGAGAGAACATCTGGGTTTTGTTAATGGAGAAAAGTGAGGAGAAAGAGGGTTGTGGTGGTGAATAGTGGTGGGTTTGTCTTCTGACGAAGGAGTAGAGTAGGAGAGAGATTGGTAAGAAGAAAATCCATTATTTTTTAGTCGATTAGTTGTTGTCTGGACTCAATTTACCATTTCACAATTCATGAGAGAGGGAAAGACACTAGCGACAACTTTATTAGTGCTCTTTGAGTCGATTTAGGTTTGTTCTTATTTTTTTCAATTGCTGATTCTACATATAATATTTTGGTACTGATTTTTCTGGGAGTTTGGTTGAAATTTTTTTCTCTTGCTAATTTGATGAATACGCCAAAGGTAAATTGTTTATTTGTTTGTTTGGTTTTTTCTTTTTCATAATTTTCAGTACTATGGAAGACATGGGTAACCGCATATGCCAATGGATTGATATATATGTTATTCCAGTAGTCAAAAAAGGAAGAAAAAAAAATGTTAACAGGGTAGGCGGGGCGGGCACGGGTATTGTCATCTCCCAACGGGGCGGGGATGGACTTGATAATTCAACCCGACCCGGGGCACGAGGCGGGTATGAATTTGTCACTAAACAGACGGGGCGGGGACAGGTTTAGCCAAACCCACTCCAAACCTGCCCCGTTGCCATCCCTAATAAGTAAAGTCATTTATTTTATAACTTTTCTTTGTTAGTCTCATGACCGAGGTTTTGGATTTTTGGGTTTTCTTTTACTCTACTTGGTTAAAGTTTTCTTCTTAATCGGAAGTAATGTTTTACACAAAGATTAAATTTTAATAAGTAAAGTCATTAATTGTTAGGGCTTTTCTTTGTTAGTTTTGTGACTGAGGTTTTGAATTTTTCTTTGTTCTGCTTCATCGAAGTTCTCTTCTTAATCAAATGTTATGTTTTAAACAATATTAAATTTGATTTTGTATTTTTTTCCCTTAATATATTATTTATGTGTGGGTGGATTAAATTTTAATGAGTAAAGTTATTCATATATTGTTAGGATTTTTCTTTGTTAGTTTCGTGACTGAAGTTTTGGATTTTTCTTGTTCTGCTTAATCAAAGGTAATGTTTTACACAAATATTAGATTTGATTTTTTTTTTTCCTTAGTATATTATTTATGTGTGATATGGACATGTGGAGAGCGGTTGAAGAGGCAATGGGGTGTATTTGCATGAAGATACCGCTAAGGTCTATATTTCCCCTCCCCTTTTTATTTTTTTATTTTTTTTCTTTTTTTACACCAATAATTATATATGCATATGTTTTGTCATTGATTTGCAGATTTATAGATTGATTATGATATGAAAGAGAGGTGGAAGTGGGGGAATTAAGGTGTTTCAAATTATTATTTTGTAAAATAATACAATAAAATAATACAAAAAAATATCAATAAGTAAAATCCAACTAAAATAAAATACCAATTAGCAAAGTCCAATTAAAATAAAATACTAATAGGTAAATTCATTCATTGTTAGGACTCTCTTGGTTTTTGGATTTTTCTTTGTTATGCTTAATGGAAGGTAATGTTTTACAAAAAGATTAGATTTGATTTTTTTTCCTTAATATATTATTCATGTGTAGAGGCTTATTGATTCCAATTAACTGATTTTCTTATCATTTTTCTTTTGTTTTTCCTTCTTTTTTTTTATTAAATACAAACTAATTATGTATATGCACATGTTTTACACCAATAATTATATATATGCATATGTTTTGTCATTGATTTGCAGGTTTATAGATTGAGTGTGATATGGAGAAAGGTGGAAGAGACAATGAGATGTATTTGCATGAAGACATTCCCATTTTTTATTACACCATTAATTAAAATGCTAATAAGTAAAGTCATTCATTGTTAAGGCTTTTCTTTGTTAGTTTCGTGACGGAGGTTTTTGGGTTTTTTCTTTATTCTGCTTAATCGAAGTTCTCTTCTTAATCAAAGGTGTTGAGGGTGAAATCCACGCGGTCCGATACGACATCGTTTTCCTGCAAGGAAGAT